ATTCGTATAGGGTCAACAAGTGTAGTTGTAAAAAATCATCAAAATCGGAGTTAAAATAACCGTTAAATCGTGATTTTTTGTTTTATAACCGTCGAAAAACTTTGTCTCATTACTTGATCTCTGAATGTTTGTTTTTTGTGATTTTTGGTGTATGCGATCTCGAAGCATATACAAATAAGTTTGACGGTTGGATCGTTGAAATTAGTTTCATAGAATTCGTATCCCATCAAAACGATAGATTCACTAACACTTATAGTTTATTTATACTTTCATTAAGTATAACATAAGATTTAGTGGTATCCACTTGTGTAAATATTTTAAATTGACGATCGAATTCATTCATTGTATTCGTATAAGGTCAACAAATGTAGTTGTAAAAAATCATCAAAATCGGAATTAAAATAACCGTTAAATCGTGATTTTTTGTTTTATAACCGTCGAAAAGTTTTGTCTCATTACTTGATCTCTGAATGTTTGTTTTTTGTGATTTTTGGCGTATACGATCTCGAAGCATATACAAACAAGTTTGACGGTTTGATCATTGAAATTAGTTTCATAGAATTCGTATCCCATCAAAACGATAGATTCACTAACACTTAGAGTTTATTTATACTTTCATCAAGTATAACATAAGATTTTGTGGTATCCACTTGTGTAAATATTTTAAATTGACGATCGAATTCATTCATTGTATTCGTATAGGGTCAAAAAGTGTACTTGTAAAAAATAATCAAAATCGAAGTTAAAATAACCGTTAAATAGTGATTTTTTGTTTTATAACTGTCGAAAAGTTTCGTCTCATTACTTGATCTCTAAATGTTTGTTTTTTGTGATTTTTGGTGTATGCGATCTCGAAGCATATACAAACAAGTTTGACGGTTTGATCGTTGAAATTAGTTTCATAGAATTTGTATCCCATCAAAACGATAGATTCACTAACACTTTATTTATACTTTTATTAAGTATAAAATAAGATTTTGTGGTATCCACTTGTGTAAATATTTTAAATTGACGATCGAATTCATTCATTGTATTTGTATAGGGTCAACAAGTGTAGTTGTAAAAAATTATCAAAATCGAAGTTAAAATAACCGTTAAATCGTGATTTTTTGTTTTATAACCGTCGAAAAGTTTTGTCTCATTACTTGATCTCTGAATGTTTGTTTTTTGTGATTTTTGGCGTATGCGATCTCGAAGCATATACAAACAAGATTGATGGTTGGATCGTTGAAATTAGTTTAATAGAATTCGTATCCCATCAAAACGATAGATTCACTAACACTTAGAGTTTATTTATACTTTCATTAAGTATAACATAAGATTTTGTGGTATCCACTTATGTAAATATTTTAAATTGACGATCGAATTCATTCATTGTATTCGTATAGGGTCAAAAAGTGTACTTGTAAAAAATCATCAAAATCGAAGTTAAAATAACCGTTAAATCGTGATTTTTTGTTTTATCACCATCAAAAAGTTTTGTCTCATTACTTGATCTCTGAATGTTTGTTTTTTGTGATTTTTGGCATATGCGATCTCGAACCATATACAAACAAGTTGACGGTTTGATCGTTGAAATTAGTTTCGTGTATCCCATCAAGTTCATTGGTGTGTGTATATATATATATTTATTTATTTGTTATGTAGATTTAAATATATTTATTTTGTACGTATAATTATTATAGTTTTTTTAGGGGTATAATATTTAATTTAAAATTTAATATATATATATATATAATTATTATAGTTAATATTTTGGGGGTATAATTATTATAGTATATATAATTATTATAGTTAATTTAATATATATATATATAATTATAGTTTTAAACTTTTTAGGGGTATAAAATTGTTAAATTATTATATATAATTATTACAGTATTTTTTAGGGTTATAAAATTATTAAATTAATATTCTGCTTATCGTATATCGTGTTACCCACGTGTATACCCGAACCAACCCGTTATTTTAACAGGTGCTTATCGGGTTACCCGATAATACCCGATTCGTTATCGTGTCGACTCAAACACCTGTTAATTTCGGGTCGTGTCGTGTCGGGTTATCGGGTCGTGTCAGGAATTGCCAGGCCTACTTGAACCTATGTACTTGTGTAAACCCTTCACAATTAATGAGAACTCCTCTACTCCGTGGACGTAGCCAATCTGGGTGAACCACGTACATTTTGTGTTTGCTTCCCTGTCTCTATCCATTTACATACTTATCCACACTAATGACCGGAGCAATCTAGCGAAGGTCACAAACTTAACACTTTCTGTTGTACCAAAGTCCTCACTGATTTTGTGCATCAACAGAATCCAAAAACATTTTCTATAAAAACGTTTTTAGCCTGTTTAAATGTACTTTCAAATGACCCTAAAACACAAGGATTATAGGATAAGAAAATTAATGATGATAAAGATATTGAGCTAGTTTGGAAGTGCTTTATAAATGACAAATTTTTTTTTAGAATAAATGTTTTTAAAATCAATCCTTAGTAAAAATGCAAGTGAATCCTGAAAAACATTTAAGTGCTTCCTACAAGAAACACGTAACTGGTGCTTCTTGCAAAAACACTTCAATTGCTTTTAGAATCCAAAAGTATTTTTTTTAAAAGCAATTTCAGTTATTTTAAACGTACTCCAAAGAAACGATTAGAATTATTAAGCAATTATTATGACTCTCCAAAAGAAACAGAACATTTTAAATATCAAAATAAATAAATAAAAAGTTTTGAATCTTTATAATAAATAAAAAAATTAAAATAACCAACAAAAATTTATGTTTTAATTTTCATTTGGAGAGTTGTAATGAAGGGTATATTGTGGAAATCCAAAATTTGTTTTTTAGAGAATTACTTTCTAAATTTTATGTGAAAGCGGAGTATGTGGTAAGAGATTAAAAAAAAAGAAGGTAAAAAGTAAGGTAAATAGAAAAAGTAGTTATAATTTTTCTTGTTAAACTTAGTACTACGGTCTGGTGATATTTATTTTCACTTAGAAGTGAAATAACTTCGAATCTCATTGATGACGAATTCGATACCAAATTAGGTTACCCATTATATAACTTAACCGAACTCTCTTTTCTTTTAATATAAAAATATCAATGTACTCCAAAAAAAAAACAAAAAAAACAAAAAAATAAAAAACTCGGGTGAGAGGAAGGAATGATTAGGATCAATAGGAAGGGCCTACTTGAGTTTCACGATCCGTGGCACATGACATCCAAACCGTTCTCTATCGATCGTAAAATAGCACAGCGAGAGAACGCATTGACCGTCCGATAGGCAGCGGGGCAAAACAGTAAATGCGAAACGAGGCGGTCGGCGATTCCGCCGCCAAGTTGGGTTTGTTGAACAAGCACTATGTATACAGAGAGAGGTACGACCTTTCAATTCGCACCCACGTTTCTGAAGTCGTTTTCTGAAAGGAAAATCTCTCCTCTTTCCATATCCAAACCCTTTCGACTTCTCGAATCTAAGAAACCCAAGAGGTAATCTTTCTTTCTGCTTTTTTGTTCTTCATCTTCTTCGATTCAATTTATCGCGATTGCTTCTGCGATTGGGAATTAGGGTTCTTGGGCTGCGTTTCAGATTGGGATTTTGTAAAATCGAATTGGGTTTTGATTGTTGGGGTTTAATTTATGGTTGCAGATGGCCCGTACCAAGCAAACCGCTCGCAAGTCCACCGGAGGCAAGGCTCCAAGGAAGCAACTTGCTACCAAGGTTCGTAGATACCTTCTTCAAACCCTAATTTTTGCCCCCTTTAATCTGCTTTGTTTTCTTTCAATTTGTTAATTCTGATTTGGTATTTTCTCAGGCTGCTAGGAAATCAGCCCCTACCACCGGAGGCGTGAAGAAGCCCCACAGATACCGCCCTGGAACTGTTGCTCTTCGGTATGTATTCGAACCCCCATTTATCTACCCAATTAATCTTAAAATTTGTAATTTTGATTCTGGGTAATACTGAAATCAATTAACATTTGGTAATTGATTGTTTTTATTTTGTAATTTGAATTCTGGGTATTTAATTAAGTATGATTTTACGTTGCTGGATTGTGATTGTAATGTGTTTGTGAATATGCCGCAGTGAAATCCGCAAGTACCAGAAGAGCACAGAGCTGCTGATCAGGAAGCTCCCGTTCCAGAGGCTGGTTCGTGAAATTGCGCAGGACTTCAAGACTGACCTGCGTTTCCAGAGCCATGCTGTCTTGGCACTGCAGGAGGCTGCCGAGGCGTACCTCGTCGGGCTGTTTGAGGACACTAACCTGTGCGCCATTCATGCCAAGCGCGTCACTATCATGCCGAAGGATATCCAACTTGCCAGGAGAATCCGCGGTGAGAGGGCTTAAGAGATGAAGAAACAGAAGAGAAGCTGCTCTGTGTAGAAGGGCTTCCGGTGGGCAAGCTTTGATCTGATTGATTAATGGCACTTAGATTTTAGGGTTTATAATTTGTTTTGGTTAATGTGTAATTTTCAAGAAATGAAGACTTTAGTTTTCTTTGGTTGCAATTGTAATTGTGGTTGAACCTCTCTCGAGTTGTATCGACTTGATAAATGCAGTTTGTGTTTCTAATTACTTCTTCCATTTTCCTATTCGATAACTGCACGTAAACAATCAAACACACGATTATGAAAACGAAAAATGGATTTGTGAAGGATAAATAGACGAGCTTTTAATATCTTAATCTTAATTCTAAAGCACTTCAGAGAGAACATTTTGGTACAATATTGATGTATCATGAGATATGACAAGTGATATACAACATTTGTCAACATATTAGAAGAAAAGGTTGGGCATCAGTGACGAAGTTAGCTTTCCGAAAAATGCGGCGGAGCAAAATACATTGAATTATGCATACCAAGTCATGAATGTTGTTATCTGTATATTGTCACGATGAATTCCGCAAACTTTTTTTATCCTTATAAATAAACTATTTACTACTTTGAAATTTGGTTCAAATAATTGTTACACAAAAACTGATGGAAAAAAAAAAAAAAAAAAAAAACAATATCACCAGTGCACCTTTATTGTGTGGCAGGTGCAAAAGGCTCTTAACAAATGTCGCCTAGCTTCCATCCGGGTTTCGGCAACTATTTTACAACAGCTAATGCAGAAAGTCATGAAAAATGAAAAACCATCTTTTAGTGATGAACAATAAGATCATTTCAAGGGCTACAATTTTGCTGTATTCTGAAACAAGCAAAAATTTCTTATTAATTCATTGTTTTCAAATAGGGCATTCCCTGAGAGAGTTTAACTCTCAATGTAGAAACTCATCTATTGGAGGAAAACTTGGATATAACAGCATCGCGCAGACCAGCGCTTGGTTTTTAAGCAAACACCGTCTACAGGGGACCTGGAAAAGTTCCGTTCTCCCTTTGCTCGTTCCATCTCTCAACCTGATATACATACAAAGAGTACAACAAGAACACTGTTAACTTTAGCACTGCTAAGGAATATGGACTTACGAGAGATCAGCAGCCAAATAGAAAACCTGAACTGAAATGAAAAACAATAACAATTCCTTATAGCATGTAAACAGATAAGCAAAAGCAAACTCAACAGCAGCACAAACAAATGCACGTGTGGGCACACCAGTAACTAAGCCACACATTGGCGAATGTCTTGAACTATAAGTGCGTGTGCAAGGGTTCTATTCTATACTCAAGATCGGGTACTTCATCCGAACAAGGAACTGTATTCATTTTGACAAATATTGAAAATATCATAAATGTTCTCTTGGTCACTAGAACAGGACTCTTGAAATTATAATATATACAATTCATCAATCCTTCAAATGAGGAATATTCAAAGTTCAAATCTTGAGCAAGACTGGCTGCCCACGCGCCTGAAGTGCGGGCGAACAAAATCACACCCCCTTAAAAAAAATTATTAAGAACATTCACAAACACTCGCCACAGATTGTGGCATATCCTCTCTCCTCCCAGTAGGAAAAACTTAAATAAGGAAGAGAAGAAACTATAAAAAGATCAGCAATGATCCAAGCGTTGAAAACATCTCAACAGATATTCTTCTAAGATTTTGCTTCGTATCTTGTGTAAACTAGAGTAGAAACAATCGATATCAACTATAAGCATAATAGAACTGCTTAATAACTTGTTATACGACACATATTTTTCTGATCTCACAACAGTATTTAAATCTCTAACCTCTCCCAAATATATACAAAATAGCAAGGCAAGGTGATCCAATTGAGAAATCTATTTTATATATTAGGTTCAGTTTCTAGTACAAAATGCATTACAAAAATACCAATGCTATTTCGGTAGCAATGAATGGCTAAAGAGTAGATCTGAAATTTGATGTGCAGAGATCAACATGAGTAAAAACATGAAGCTCACAAATTGTAATAAGGTGTGTGGGATTCCTTTATTTTACACATGGTATCAATTGATTGTGGCCTTGTCAACTATATATCTGTTTTCCCTCCTTCCAGATTTGTAACCACTTAGAACACTATAAGATCGACAATTAGAAAACTTCTCCAATAGCAAAGGCAACTTAACTAAACTAAATTAAGAACACTGATTCAAAATGTTGAGGATGAAGAAGGCCATACTTTCAATATAATGGCAAACACTAAATTTTAGGGCCTGAAAGAGCACTGAAATTACATACCCATTCACCAGGGCAAAGAGAGCGGTAAAACTTTGCAAATTTGTCACACTCCGGAGCATCTTCCCCCTTTGCAGCTATGCACCTGAAAATAATTGGACCAGTGAAAACATTGTCAAAAACTTCAGCACCAAGCTAGAATGTCTGTGATAAATGCTGCTCAAATAACAGAAAGGAGCGGTGTGCCTGTGTGTATTTGTATACATACCGATGATACTCTATATATCGGGTAAAGCAATGCCTTGTCTGGTTAGTAGTTGGGAAACGGAAATCTGCTGGTGCCGTCTCAATCTGGACATGAGAATAGAATGCCAGTGAACAAATCAAACATATAAAGATAAAAAAAAGATACGATATGCACTATGTTAGGGAACAAAGAGAAATCATTGATAACTTTATGGGCAACTAACCTTAATTTCAGGTGTCTCTTCAACTATTTCTTGGTCACCTGAGTTTTCAGTACTATCACTGCTTTCTTCAGCAGCAGCTTCAGAGGTAGGATTGGTTTCAGTGCCTTCTTCAGTAGCAGCAGTAGGACTAGCTTCACTGCTTACTTCAACAGCTGGTGTAACTTCAGAGCTTTCTTCTGCTGCAGCAGCAGAAGCAGCAGGTGCTTCCTCAGGTTTCTCAGAAACAACTTCTTTTACTTCGACAGGCTTGGCACCCACATCTTTCTCCAATGCGTATTGCTGTATGTCAAAGTATGACAGGGAAACACTTAGCCATTACTAATCTTATGCCATTGAAAAGAAAGGACTAACAAAGGACAAGCATCTAACATCGTCAAAGGCTGGAAGATTTTTATCATTATCCAGAAAACAGCCGTATGGCACGGATAGCAGGCCCTGCACTAGTTCTTAGCATAATACAACTAGATTGCTGAGTAATATTAAGCTTAATACAACTAGATTGGTTGCATGCCTGGGGAAGGATACTGAGAAAGGGGAAAATTTTCAGCATATCTAGTTCAGTTAGGAACAAGCAATACGTGGCCCAACTACACCACAACAGGTCATGCCTACTTAGTGGAAGAATTTTTCGTACAAAGGAAGTGGGCACTACACTCCACTATGATTCTGCAAGCATGTCAGTCCTAGACGAGCCTATTGTATCCCGCAATCACAGTGTCAACTTTTCTTAGTACTAATATACTACCAGAAATATTACCCTACTTTGTGCTTTCCCAAGCTCAGGCTTGCTTTAATGTGGCAGGACTAACTCGACATTATAACGAGATGTAGGACCAAAGACATGCATTAAACCTGCCGATACATTATTTTCTCCACACGATGTCAAGTTTCGACATGATCTTCTATGAGCGTGTTTCATTCAAGGTGATGTTACTCCGTCCAGGATTCTGACACAAACCATTTACTTGTTTTAGAGCCTAATACCGCAGTGTGGCTTACATCTTACCTAATTGATTGACTGGCCTAAAATGCTCCTCTAAAGCAATAAACTTGTAATGCTTACTGCTCGGTTACCTGCCTTACACGATAAAGTGTTACACAACTTTGGAAAAAATTCAAAATAAATTGAAAGGCATACCTAACAGAGTTAATCAAAACCTAAAACTTGTCTATAACAATATTTAGTTGCATTAAAAACACAAATTAAGCACGCAGCACGCGACCGTTGATCAAAATTTTCAAGCAATTCTGAAGGTTTGATGAAAACAACAAATTTAACATTTTTCTATAGAAAATTAAGCTCTAGATTTTCACAGCAGATCATTGAAGCAAAAGATTATTACAACCATCGCACAGATCCATAATTTGATGCAAAATTTCAAATCTTTCCTTCTAAGAATTAGCATCTAGATCGAAGTAAACAGCGAACATTTCCATGAACGAAATTGGAACATTTGCAGAGATAGATAAGACGATCGGAATCGTACCTCAGCTAGGGTTTGGATTTTGTCGGCTTGCGTCTCCGCCATTGATGGAATCGGATCTTCTTCAGCTGCTCTCGCGTTTCAGGATATCAGGCCGCCAAGGAGAGAGAGAGATGAGACGAGAGCAACGAAGCGTGTGAATGGTTTAGGTATTACCGTCTAGAAGCTGGGAATTTTTAACTGAGTTACTGAGGTGGTAAAAGGTAAAAATTGATGATTACAGTGGAGGAGTATAGAGTCAAACAACTGACAATCTTGGGCCCGTTTCTGTAAATAAGGATGGGCCGTTGGCGATTAAGTAGACATGTTTTTTTTTGGAAACTATGAAGTAGACATGTTTGATTAATATTAGGCTTGTCACTTGTAAGGAACGAATCCGAATCCTCTTTGTGAGGATCCCGAAGATCCGTTAATTGTGTCTATTCATTATACATCGTACGATTAGAAATTATATTAAATTTATTTATTTAAAATTAAACACAAATAGTACCTGACAAAAACTAACTTTACGATATACGATAAACAAACACGATTCACGGATCCTTATGATCCTCACAAAGAGAATCTTGTTGGGTAAGGAACCATCACCCCCTTCCAAGTAAACAACTTGACACATGTACAAGTCTTTTTTTTGTGTGTGTTTTTAACTCATTATTCAGCGCCACTTAATACTACAGTTTAGTGATATTACTCTTCACTTGTAAGTGAGATATCTTAGGTTTGATTCTTGCAAAATGTGAAGTTGAACCACATTATTATGGCAAACTCATTGTAAGACTTAGCCCACTCCCCTATCCCTTTAGTGTAGATATTATCGTTTATTCAAAAAAAAAAAAAGCTATTATTTAGCAAGTGCTAGATTGTCATGATGTTCATGATTTGCCTCTTTAACCTTTTGTGTTCTGAATTTAAACTCTCCTCTTTTTCCTTACTATAAATTATTATAGATTTGAATATCGCTTGTGATAAAATTAAATAAAATAACAAATCATTACCTACCATTTGAGCCTGGGAGCGTGAACAATGGACTAGTTGTTTAAATAGGCATTAAAGTAATTTGTTGTCCGAGAATGTTGAGTCTCGGCTTAGGCCTTACAGGGCACACCCTACCCTCTACCGGTAGATAGCAAATAACAAATGATTTTGACCTGATTGTGTGCTAAAATTTAAGCTTGAACTTGCATATCACTAGAATGTAGTTTTGTAGTGTTAAGCACTGGTGAAGCTACATAGGCGCAAGAAGGGGCAACCACCCATTCTCTCGCCGTAAATGAAGCCCATGAGCGAGTAACCGCCCCTCTGGTCCGTCGGAAAACTTGTAGGTAGCAGCCCTATATTCTTCTGTTGCCGCACAGGCCCTGTTCACAGCAGCTTCTTGTTCTTAGTGTGATGCGAATGTCGACTGCAATAAGACAGCCATGGTTGCAGTTGCAAAGCTTGGTGCGGCATGACTTGCAGATTGCAGAGTCTGCATACCCACCATCGGGAAGAAGAAGATGAAAATGTTAAAACCTATTTTTTATAACTTAATTACACGAATTTTGCTTACATTTTACACATGGCAATAGTTACTGCCATTCATTTCGCCACAACCAGGAGAACATCACATAGAATTCTAATAGTACTCTAATTGAAAGAAAATTACACCTATACTAAAACCCAAGCAAAAGTTTCCTGTTCACCAGTAGTAAACTCCCTAAAATGCCCTATATACTAATCGACAAAATAAAAAGAAAGAAAGAAAAGAATACTATTATATTATTGTATTTCTTTTTTATTTTCTAGGGTACACACTATCATATAAATATACACTATATTCTTTTGTTTTATATCAAGGTTCTAAAAAACGCTAGGCGGGGTCCAGGCGGATTTAAGTAAATTTCTTGTATATCTTGTAAATAAGTGCATATTGACACTTACAAAAAATTATATTTGTATGAAATCCATGGATAAGATAATTAAAAAAATGATAAAATGCAAAAAGAGTATCCAACAAGTCCAAATTTTAAAAACACATTAAGCATATATTGTAACATCCCACATCGCCCAGGGGAGTGATCTTTAAATGTATATTTCCATCCCTACCTAACATGAGGCATTTTGGGAGCTCACTGGCATCGGGTTCCGTCGGAACTCCGAAGTTAAGCGAGAAGGAGGCCAGAGCACTCCCATAATGGGTGTCCCACTGGGAAGTTGCTTGTGAGTTCCCAAAAACAAAATTGTGAGGGAATGGTAAGCTCAAAGCGGACAATATCGTGCTACGATGGTGGAACGGGCCCGGGATGTGGTGGACCCGGGTTGGGATGTGACCTATATGCCATATAACCATAGTGAGAAGTATTGTAGGATAACAAATGTACAACAAGTTCACAATTTTAAACCACTTAGGCCATCTCCAACCGAGGGCTAGCCAGATGACTCGTTTTAGCCATCTGGCCCTCCAAGATTCTCCAAGATATTAATATTTTAATGAACAGTATAGAGCCATATTTGCCTCCATCTCTAACCGAGGGCCAGAGGGCCAGAGGGCTCGTTATAGCCCTGTCACAAAAAACTGTCTCCAACCGAGAGCCAAACATAATTTATTATTTAAAAACTACAATTTAAATAATAAATTTTGTAAAATTCTGTAAAATAAAAGTTATACGAAAAAAAATATGAACCAAATTTTGTAAAATATAAGTTTGAAAATTATCGAAAAAATTGAAGGATAGATTTTTGAAAGAGGAAAGAAAATATGAGAATTGAAATGGTGAAAATTTTGTGAGAATGGTTAATGAATGGTTTAGGTATTTATAGGAAAAAAAATAGAATTTTTTTAAAAAAAAAAGGCCCAATAAACCTAAAAAAAAAAATATATATATATATATATATATTTAAATCCAACGGTAACTGGTGCCAGCCGTTGGATTCAAAGTTGTTCATACTATTCGTGTCGGTTATAACCGACACTATGTGCAATTCAAATTACTATTAGTGTCGGTTATAACCGACACAAATAGTAATTAATAATATTCTGCTAGCCGTTACACTTATTCATGTCGGTTAGAACTGACAGGAATAACAAAAATTAAGAAGATCCCGTGGGGCCCTCCCAGATTCTAGAGCCCTCTGGCCTAGCCCTCGGTTGGAGACTGTTTTCGGGCTATTTTCGGCCCTTTGGCTCTCTGGCCCCTTCGGTTGGAGATTGCCTTAGACTTAGATAGGATTTTTTTTTAATTTTTTTTTTAATTTCATTAAAAAAAACCGCCTAGCCCCGCCTAGGCCACTTATAGCCCATCTGATTTTTCCAACCGATTTGCAAGAAAACGCATCAGCTTACCATCGCCTAGGGCATTTTTTAGAACATTGTTTTATATAAGTTGCAAGTCACACATATACAATATAAAATAAATTCATATGAGATTCAAAATATATTTCATAATGCATCACGAACTCGTAATCACTTGAACTTTTATCTCATACCATTAGATGATTTACCAAAGTACTAAGGAGAATTTTTCAATATATATATTATGTTATATAATAAATATGCATTTATTTAGGGAATTGTTATTGACACTTCAAAAATCTCATTTTGCACTCCAAACTTTGTATAATTAGTAAGAAAATTACGCTTGTGAGGAGTGTAGAATGAGATTTTTTGAGTGCTGATAACAGTTCCCTTTATTTATATGGTATAATAAATGAAGGCTCCGTTTAGGCTCTAGGCGTTAGGTTTCAGCCCGCCGCTTGACTAGCGTTTAGCGTTTTTTGGACCTTCCTCATTATACATTACGTAATGGAACGATACTAAAAGAAATGACACTTGTATCCTCCTTCAAATACGGTTATTGCAAATCCTCATTTGAATATTCCGAGTACTCCAAGTTCTCCTTTGACTATTCTGATTAGTCCAGATGCTCCTTGAATATTTTAGATAGTTCTCGATAAAATGAGGTTACTGAGTTTGATGAAATATTGGCTAACCTTCTTGTAGACCTTGAATGGTTGTCTAAATTCTTTTGAAACCTTTTACCCTTTATTAAATTCCGGCCCTCCTGCTAATAATTTATGGTTTCGCCACTAGTGCTAAGCAGCAACTATTGACGAATTAACAAAAATTAAACATGTTAGATTATTGTCAAGTTATCCAATACAAGTCTTCATTAAAACATGTGGGGTAATGGTTTACTAGTAATATAGTCCATGCCGTCTACAGTTCTTATACAAACTTGTACGATAGTTTAGGGACGTGAAAATAATTTTTAAAAAATGATTTTTCTAACCTCCCTACCAAACTTAGACCTACAGTCATGATTAAGGTCTAAAATATCGATATTATTCCGATATTTCCATCGAAATTTCCGTGTTTTTGAACTATCGATATTTCCGATATCATCGATATTTTAGACCTTGATAGGAACTCTATGTGGTACTAAGTCACTCATGTATTTTACCATGCAATGTATGAAGTGTAAAATATTTTACTAATTCATTATATATAAATGATTATGGTGTGTTTAAACTTCTTTAATTAATTACTACATATTTTCTACACTTACAATGTTTGCCAGCTCGCTATATAATCAACTTAAATTAGTTAAATCCATCATGCAATGCATTTCCTTCCAATTTTTTTTTATGATAAACTAATAGATAATTAACTAAATAAACATCTTGCAAAGTTTCAATAAAAATTTCCAAGTTTTTCTTACAATTTTCGTGGTTTTTATTCAATTTTTATCGATATCGATAATATCCCGATATTTCCATGAGACTAATGCCACAAGACAACATAAAAAGCTCTTAGAAATAATTTTCACCAGACTAATCATTTAAGGTTGCACCGTCATAGCATTTGGTACCACCAATTGACAATCCATGGTTGACAATCCACCTATGCATGTGTAACGTTAACTTACATAGGGTCATAACCATGACAAACGGCCTAGTAGCAAAGTGCAAACATCAACATTTTAAAGGGAAAAAAAATGAGGTGGGTTCTTGTAGATTGTAAATATAATTGGTTGTGATCACAAATAAAATATAATTATTAACTAGCTTCTTTTAAGCTTCGAAAGAATAAATAATTATAGGAAACTTTAATAAAAAAACTTTCAGTACTGTTCATTTTAACGAAAAATCACATTTTAACATTAAAAAATCAATCTTGGTACTATTTACTTTACCCTTTATTTTGTACTTATCGTTAAAACTCAAAAATTTCAAACTATTTCATTAGTTTTTCTATAATTATAATCTCATTAGTTTTCCTATAATTATAATCTGCCACTGAGTTATTCCCTTTTTAAGTAAGAAAAAAACTTAAGACAGTCGTAGTTGAAAACCGTCTGTATATTTGACGATTCTTCGTTTTGATAAAAAAAAAAGTAGAAAAAAGTGAAGGAATGTTGGACTAACTTTACATGCATACCCCACCCTTGATTGAAAAACGTGTTCTCTTTACCGTACAAATTGCATGATGGAATAAGTGGCAACGGGTCACAACACCCTTATCATGTAAAGAGCTTTAGATTTTGTTTGACCGTAATAGTTTGCACAAGAATAATAGTTCAAATCATAAAACTCAATGACACACACACTTCGCCGGGTGGTTTTTGAGTGTAATGGTTTTTATCTTTTTGGGGAAGGGTAGGTGACTCGCATGTAGTTATTGCTAAATAGTTAATCTCGCTTAATTTTTCTTTATTTGAAAAAGAATAAATGTATAGTATGCAGTCCTATTACGTTTAGTCGTTAAATTCAATAATGTATGTCATACATGCTCCAAAATTTTTAAACCGTCTCATCCTGTAAATGATCAAATTCCATAAAGACTTCATGGAAGGCGGGAGGTGTAAAAAAATTTAAACGAATATCTTGATGTATTTGAATACTTGGTTAATAGTATTATCCCATAGATTTTTAGGAAAACTAATGAAAATGGTTTGAAAACTTCGAGTTTAATCAAAATGACAAAAATGTGTTGTAAGTGAATAGTACCATGAGTGACTTTTTAGAGTAAAAATGTTATTTTCGTTAAAAGTGAACGGTACCATGAATGTTTCGTTAAAACTCTCTAGATTTTTAGGGTCAATTACGGGTATTTTAATGAAGGGGTTTTGAGTTGTTTTTTTAGGGAAGATACAAAATGAGGATGATGGAAGAAATTTTTTGAAATGAGTTTATCATTACGGTAAAATTTCAAGTATGAATATGAACGTTAGGATAGTGTTGAACTCATTCCCAACATGGGATCTAAATTAATTTGAAATTTTGGGTGTAACATTTGGCATGTTGATAAGGCAAGTGTAACAGAAATTTTGACCAGATGAGAAAATTTCTAGTTCCAAAATGCTAACATTTATTTATTTTCGTAAGTTGAAAAATACCCACCACCATTAAATACATATGCCATGTCATTACACAACAAATGTTTAATCCCCACCAAACAAATCTGCAGGTGTTATTATCTCTATTTAGTATTTAGTAGGGATTATTATTCATCAAAAGGTGGTAAAAAAAAAAAACCAAAAAAGGGATTATTTTGTACTAAGGAAATTATATAATTGCATTAAAAATCTTCCTATTTGGAATTGTGTCTGTTTTTACTGTCTAAAAACTTTAATAATGTAACATCATAAAGCAATTTACAACGTATAAAAACTAAAAATTGTTTCCCATAAAAAAAAAAAAAATTTAATCTCGCTTGCATGACTAGCAATGTAACTAGAAGTAAACATTATAGGTTGATTTTTTTTAAAAAACTTTGTGATACGACTAAACCAGCGTTTTGTAATTACTAATTAGCAGAAGAATAATTTTGAGAAAGATAAGTGAGATCAAAGGTCGAGAGATGCTTGGCTTGCATTACGGGTCGTGTCCCTTCTCTTCTTTTAAGTGAAGAAAGAGACCAAAGAGAGAGACACACACACATTTGTTAATTGCTTCTTTTTTGTTCTCGACTTGGGACCATAAAAATCATTTCTTTTATTTTCTTTTTCTTAATTCCTTTTTCCTTTATTTTTAATTTTCCTAAAAAAATAAAAACTTTTTTTTTCTTTTTCTAATTCCATATAAATAATATACGGTCCAGTCCAGACTTGTCCCTACTCGTCGACTGCCTGCCCCCCCTCAGAACATTATCCTCATTTCCCATTCCCCACCACTCTCCGACCAAAAACCCCGCTCCTCCGCCACCCCAGATATTTTCAGATCTACTCAGACCACACAGAGGAGGGAGGGGGAGAGAGAGAGAGAGAGAGAGAGAGAGAGAGAGTCTGCTGCGTTTGTATGTAATTTTGTGTTGTTTTTTGTTATGGATAAAAGCTGTCCCTCTTCAACTACTGATTCAGCTGCTCACACTACTGCCGCTTCCAGTGGTAGTGGCGGTGGCGGAGGAAGCTTCAACACGACCACCACCAGGGACAATTACCTCAAACACCTCAACAAGCTCTCCCACAAGATCTCAAAACCCACCACCACCAACACCCAAAACACCTTCCTCAAAAAACCCAACTTTGAAAACCCACCGCCTCCTCCTCCTCCTCCACTTCCTCTTCCTCCCCAACAGCAGCAGCACCAGCCGCCGGTCTACAACATCAACAAAAATGACTTCCGCGACGTCGTTCAGAAGCTCACCGGCTCTCCCGCCCACGACCGCTTCTCTAACCCGCCGCCGCCCGTCCACCAGCCCAAGCCCCAGATCAGCTCTCGCCTCCAGCGCATCCGCCCTCCCCCCCTCGCTCAGGTTAACAACCGCCCCCCTCCCTCGCTAGAATGCGCCGCTCCACCCCCAAACGCCAGCAATCCAATCATCCCACCCATGGGATCCGCCGCCGCTCACTTCAACTCCATCGGACGGTCCACAACCCCTCTCTCTCCCCTCCCTCCTTTCCCAACCGTACACGGAGCGGCTGAATCCCCCGTCTCAGCCTACATGCGGTACCTCCACAACTCAATCTCAGCCGTCGATTCTAACAACCAGAAGTTCTCGGGATTCTCGCCGCTGGCCCCACTTGTCTCGCCGCGCTGGACCAATCTGACGCCGTCTCCGCGGCAGAATCAGCAGGTTGCGCATCCGCTGCAGGGGATAGGTACATCAGCGAATCAACAACCGCAGACAACGACGGCGACAGCTTCACAGCCACAGTTCGCTATGCCTCCGTCGCCGCTTCCATTCGGGTGCTTGAATTCGCCGCGATCCACGTACCCATTGCTTTCCCCAAATCAATTAGGGTTTCCTCAGCTGCCGCTCTCGCCCACAGTGCCTGCACCAAGCCCTAGGTGGAGAAGTTTCTAAAGTTTCTTCAGGTAAGTCAAGCTTCAAAACACAGTCGTTTAGGGTTTAGGGTCTTTAATTTTCAATTTTATAAAAAAGACAAGAAAGACATGAACTTTGTACATTCTGGGTTGAGGGGTTTATTCAATCACCGGTGGGTGGACGGAAAACGGTCCATCGCCGTTTAAAGTTAGGGCATTATCTTTGTTATGTAAATGGGATATATGAGAGTGAAAGATATGTAGGTTTGTTCTTTGTTTGTTATCTGGATATTTGGGGTTTAATCAAAGGTTAGAAATGTTATATATACAGAATTTGTGCTGCTAAAATATTCTTTTGTTGTTAATTATCTTAGTTTTGTGAACTTTCTGCATATCGATTTGCTAATTGGATGCTATAAGCATGTCTGGCTCATATATATTTGCGAATTTTAATCGGAAGTTGCTATTGGCATTTCAAAATGGTCTGATAGTCAAAAAGTTACCATTTGCGCTCCATCAAGTGATCCTTGTGTTTTATAACGGAGGAGTGTATATGACTTCTTCGGAGTTCCAATGACAGTTCCCCTTTTGAATAAACCAAATAGAAAAAAGAGTGATATTGCAGGTATCATCACGATTTGTGCAATACATGGCAACATGTTCATCCTATTTTGGTGCTAAGTTGATGCAATCTATTTTTGGCACCTAATTTGCATATGCGATGAAACTCCACCTCATTGTTTGAATTTCATGTTCAAACAAAACTTGTTGTTTTATGTTGAAAAGGGCCATTCCCTTTCTTTGACCAGTTGGGTGATGGATGTTGATAAAACGTATTAATTGGAAACACGAGACTTCCAGGTGTTGTTGTCAAGCCTTACTACGCTAGGAGTTCATGTAAAAAATTAAAAACAGTTATGTTGTTCTAAGTCGTGAAGGACCCGATAAGTGCTAAGCTAATAAGTTAAGGTTTGAAGTGAATTTAAGGATATTAAGTTGTTGAAGATTGGTGAGTGATTAGTGTAGACACTAGGTTTTGGATTCTAGTGTGATTTTGCAGATGGAGTGTGCTAGGAGATCTTGTACATGTCATGCTGATTAGGTATAAGTATAACCAACCAATAGGAAATAATTAAATGAAATGGGGGAATGAAGAACTTAATAACTTAGACTTCCTCAAATGCTTTTCGACTCACCATTAGTTGGCCTTGTTCGTTCGCAGAGTTCCCTACTTAACTCAAATAGCCATAGGAGAAGCTGACCTAGACAACCTAGCTAAGGTTCTCAAACAATAGTTCCATTCCCCTTAAGTGCATTGCAGGCAAATCCTGTTACTACTAAACCTGGTTAACCTCTTGGTTTGTGACATAATTTCACTTTCCCCTAGCGCTGCCGCTGGTTTTCATCTGTTGTAGCCCTTATTTGTCTTTTGTTCTTTGGCCTTGACTTACCCCCTCCCCCGTCCTTCTTAGAATTCGCCATCTCTGATATGTTCTGGATTTTGTTCGCACACATTTCATTCGTTGGAGCTTTGGAATTCTGAAATGTTTTTGTGACACTAATTTGATATCTTGTATATTCGGAATCAGCAAATGTATGCTTTGCCCCGTATGGAGGAGAATTCTAAAGCATATAACTTGTCATCCAATAACTGTCATTTTTTTGGCAGAAAATCTTATAAGACCTAGGAATTTGTTATTACTCGATAACAACCTTTATATGTTGTATTTGGAGCAAATGCTATTGTTTGACGAGGACAATTTAATTCTTGGATGTTGCAACTAGGTTCAATGAACAAGTGTTTTTTTGGCAGACAACGTTGCGGCGGTGCTCCTTTCCCGCCCCATGGAGTGCATTGTTTCTAGCCTTCTAGGGGCTGTGTCTGCTTTGGATGCACTGAAAGAGGCTGTGTGATTCCCTAGTGTATTTTCAAAAGTTGGAAGGGAATCACATACCCGTTTTCTGAGTAACCAAATGCCAAACAAGACGCCACTTAGTACTACGGTTCAGTGTTATTCCTTTTCACTGGTAAGTGAGGTTTTAGGTTCGATTTTTGCCAAAGACGAATTTGGACCACATTATTGTTAGAGCCTATTGTGAGGCTTAGCCCATTTCTTCACCTCGTGCGATTGATTGGTCAACTTAGTATGTTTCGTTCAAGACTTGAGTTCCTAGTCTATAAGCTCTTTTTACATTTCATACCAAACTTATTAATAATTTACTCTTTTTCGCTGCATGTCGATACGTTTCATTGCGAATTGACCAAATGCGTTTTATTGCGAAAGTTAACCAAAGAGTCATGGTAGACAGCTTCTATGCGTGATGAAGGTGCAAGGGTGAATGCTTTTCGAGCGAATGTTGAGCATAGGTAACCGAAGTAAAAAAAAAAATTTGATTATTTAAAATTTTGATGGATACAATACATGTACACTTTTGATGACCCATTTGCATATGTTTGTGGAATGCTCCGCTATTAACTCATGGATTAGTGACGGGGCAACAAACTCTATTGTTTGTTTTCAATTTCAAATGTCATGGTTCATGATCGGATTGACATTAAGTTGTTGACCCCCCCAAAAAAAAAAACACGACATTAAGTTAGGCATCAATCATTTCTCACAAGACGGAAAACATGACATTAAGTTAAGCATCAATCATTGCTCATGAGACGGAAGGATTCCTTCGTGAAATTGATTCACCACATGACAAATATTTAACAGACGAATCATGTACTATTTAAATACGTTACAATCATCTATGCTATCAGTGTCGCCAATTGAGACTAATATCAGTTTCACGAGAGAAATCTCTCCAGGAGACGACCTATGCAAATAGATTCTCTAGTGATAATTTAGCCACTGCGATCGATCTAAGGACGAAAGAAGTGCTTTGGGGATGTTGAAAAGCAGGCTGTGTTTTAATTAAAAATAGCCTTGGCAAACATATTCCTAATTCCTCTGGACATACACATAATTTCGGGGCTTTGTTTAGTATTTGTTTTGGTCGTTGTGAATTTGGCCACTAAAGATATTTTTAGTGTGCTTTTAACGAATTAATTATATATACGTGTTATATTGTGATTTTGAAGCACTAATGAACCTACAATAGTCTTTGTGTGTGCTGCTGCATATACATGAATAATTTCAAGCTGTAACTACAACTTTGTACAAACAAATTGACAAAGGAGTCATAGTAGACAGTTTAGATGTTTGGCGGTGACAAACACATTGCTTAAGGCACACAAGTGAACGTTCTTGACTATTTGAGTTATGAGCCTGTCTTCAAGTGAATGTCGAGCATAGGTCATGGGGCACATCCCCAATGAGTTTAGCCTGTGTGTAAGAGCAAGTCCATCGATGATTTTTTGCCATGGCTAGGTCCCAAATCCAATCCAACATTCACCTCCACCCATGATAGTTATTATTCACAATGGGGGAAAAGTGGTAAAGAGAAGCCGAGACAATTACTATTTAAGTGAATAGTAACTGCCATGATAGTTATTATTCACAATGGGGGAATAGTGGTAAAGAGAAGCCGAGACAATTACTATTTAAGTGAATAGTAACAGCCACAAGTCCACTCCTAAATCCAAATTCATCATATGGATGGAAATGCTCTAATGCGAATCTCTAAATCAGAAATTTAATTATCTATTAAACAAAAAAAATTGATTATTTAGTATGTCAATTATTCAAGGATGTGCTATTCACACACCTCTTTTTATTTCTCACACAACTCTCTCAACCTCGGTTGTCAGATCAAATGAATTCAAAAATATCAAAGGCTAAAAGTTAACAAAAGGTGTGTGTGAGAAGTGAAAATATGTGGGTAGATAGCACCACCCTTATTTAATATTTAGATGGATACACGTACACATTTGATGATGCGTCTGCAAGCATGCTCCTCTAGTCTATCTCTAAATCATGATTAACTTAAGAAGAGATTAGCCCTAATTGACAAAACAAACAAACAAAAACCACTTGACACTTATAAGTGGGAAGTATTAGGTTCAACTCTTGTAGATGACGAAATTGATAACAAATTACTATAACTGATTGATTGCTCGAACATGCATACAATGCATAAGAGAAACAGTTGAACTTCAAACACGATGGCTTCATTTACACTTCCCACAGAGAGGAAGACCCTTTTACAAAAGCATGATTAGATTTTTTTTTTTTTTTTTTTTTAAACAAACGATATTATCTACACAAAAGGAATGGATCAGACTGAGCTTCATAATGAACTATCAATAATATGGTTTAAATTCATCTTTAACAAGAATCGAATCTAAAACATCTCGATGTAAAAAGAAATACCACTACACCTTAATATTAAGTGCACATGACTAGATATTAAATGAGTCGTGATGGCTCTTCATTGCCCAAAAGTGTGACGAATGACTGAAGATTAAATAAGTTGTCCCAATCCGAGCTTTAGACGATAAGATAAGATCAATGACGATAAGATTATTAAACATATCGAAGATCTGATATGATTAAGTCAACAGATTGTATTAGATTAACTATTAACTAATACATTGTTTATTAGGCAAGCCGAATGAGGATCCATGAACCGTATCCGTTCATCGGACATCGAACGGTCAGAAATTATTTTATTTAAAATTGAATACAAACAGTATCTAACAAAAATTGATTACACGATTTACGGTGAACAAACATGATTCACAAACCCAAGATCCTCGCAAAGAAGATCCAAAGAAGATCCGGATTAAGGCAAAGCCCACAGGCATCACTGTCTATTTCATGACATAGGAGCTACGAAACCGGGCACACAACTACTAGTTTAGTTCGAGAACTACCATTGACAATTCAAAAAAACTCATCCGACACTCCTCCAGCTCCAACTTTTTTTAGAGTACCGATAACAAATCCTTTCAGTTCTAGTAGTTTAGGTAAAGTTTCACCTCCAGTCTATGTATCCATTTTTTAGCCAGTAACTACTGTAGTTTTACTAAACCACAAATTCATACAAGACGACTTATATCCTTCAAACAAGAGAATGCTGGGGTCATATGTCACGCAACCACTCATGCCCTAATTACACTTCGTAAACTACACGACTTAAATCGTAAAATTTAAAACTACGTGGACTAAAATGCAACGTCACCCGAACTACAGGGATCAAAATCATTATTTGGCCTAAATTCATATGAACCTTAACATTTGTGGATGGTATCAAAAGGTACCATGAATGTGTTGTGTCCCAATCAAACAAGTCCATTTTCATTCACAGGAAAAAGGGGAAAATCCCTTCACAATCATGTAAGTCTCCATGAACAACAACAAATCATAACCCAAAGACATCAATGACGAATAAAATTATATGCGATATTAATCAAACATGATGGAAATTCAAGACAGATATTTCAAATCCCAATTCGAAAACACAGAACTGAAAAAACAAACTAATTAAAAAGGAGAAAAAAAATAAAGGAAAAGAAAAGACCGGTGTTTGTCAACCATTGAATTGGAAGGACAAGAATGCCTAGAATCGGAATAGGATTTGAATTAGCCAGGATTACCTTCTCCTATTAAAAACATATAGAGGAGAAGCTCAACCCTAATTTGCAGCAATGAATGTTGCTCACTGCTTTGGTTCTTCGGTGGGCTTGGGTGCTGCTGCTTCTTTAACCTCGTCAGCTGCATCATCCTGAAACAAGAGCATGTACAATTCAAAATGAGTCTTCGTAATATCTCAGAAGAGCAGGAGGATAGAAGAGACAGGATCAATATGATCCATATGAATACCTGCATGTCAGAGGTCCACAGGGTCAGGTTATCACGGAGAAGCTGCATTATCAAAGTGCTGTCCTTGTATGACTCCTCTCCGAGAGTGTCCAACTCTGCGATCGCCTCATCAAAAGCCTGGCGGAAGTCACAGATCAAATTCAAAGTTAAACAATGTTATAAGTTCCTAAATTTTATGCTTATCTGACACGGTGGTACAATCAATAAAATATCAAAGCCATTCACCTGTTTGGCGAGATTGCAGGCGCGGTCGGGAGAGTTCAGAATCTCATAGTAAAACACAGAGAAGTTGAGAGCCAACCCCAGGCGGATTGGGTGTGTTGGTGCCAGTTCGGCATTGGCAATGTCCTGAAACACATGAAACACAGAATCCATTTACAATCGAGCAATAAATTGATTCATAATCAACGGTATAATAATCCAATCCTTAATTTTCTGCACTGAATTTAAAAAATGAGGAAAATCTGAACACAATTCGCAATCTATTTGTTCCGTCGTAATTAACCACAATGTCTACCAATCCAATCCATTCAAGTGATTGCATACAAAATGATCAGTTGAGATTATTACACAATTTGGCATTTACCAAAAGAAATTAGATTAATCTGCACGAAACTTTGAGCTATTTGTTCCATCTGAACTAACCATAAGTATAATTTTACGACAAGATGATGCAGAAGATTGACATATAGTGAGTTTAATTGGATTCGCAAATGAAACCCTAAATCAAATAAATAAGGAAACTTTAAGCCAATGTGATACCTGAGCGGCCTTGTAGGCGGAGAGGGTGCTCTCGGCGGCCTCCTTGCGCTCGGCGCCGGTCTTGAACTCGGCAAGATAACGGTGGTAATCGCCCTTCATTTTGAGATAAAAGACCTTGGAATCGCCGGCGACAGCGGAGGGGATGAGCCTGGAGTCGAGGAGCTTGAGAATGCCGTCGCAGATGTTGGAGAGCTCGGTCTCGATCTTGGATCGGTAGTCACGGATCGTGGCAACGTGGTCGTCGTTGCCGCGGCTCTCCTCCTTCTGCTCGATGGAGGAGATGATGCGCCAGGAGGCACGGCGGGCACCGATGACGTTCTTGTAGGCAACGGAGAGGAGGTTGCGCTCCTCGACGGTGAGCTCCTCTTTATCGGCGGAGGCGGAGACTTTCTCGACGAACTCGACCATCTCCTCGTAGCGCTCGGCTTGCTCGGCGAGTTTGGCCATGTAGACGTTCTCTTCGCGGGGGGAGGGGGTGGTTGCCGCCATTGTTGGTCGATGGAGGGATCGGATCTGGAGATCTCAGAAGGATAGTGTGATTTTTGGTAGGGCGAAGAAGTAGAGGAGAGAGGTTTGAGGTTCGAGGGGAAAGGGGAAAGGGGGGTGTTATTTTTGGGGGGTAGTGGAGCGATAATTGCGTTGGGGGGAGGGGAGATGTGGGCCGTTGGATTGGTACCGGCCTTGTTTCCCAATTGGATGGTGTGGAAGCGGCAGCTGGCAACGCACTTTTTTTTTTTAAATTTTACTTTTTTTCATAAATGCTTTTGGTAATAATATTAATAACACGGGAGTTTGATTTTTGAACTGGAAAAAAGGTGCGCCTTTTTATTTTGAATGGCAGTTGGCAGAAGCTGGCTTTTGATTTCCTTTTTTATTTCTTGAAACTATTTTTGTCTTAATAATTGTCTTTTCTTTTCTCTTTTTGGGAATTAGAAATTTCTTGACCCTGAAAAATTGTGGCAGTATGTCAGAGCCATGTATGGTCGGTCTTGAGCTTTTTGGTGCCCAAAACAAATGCTTAAAATGTGTTTTATTTTTCATTACAACACTATGGGAGAATTATTAAGCACATGCGTAATTGGCTCAAGATATCATAACGTCACAATAGCATCTCATGTGTCCCCACAGAAAGGCAAAAATGGAATAATGAGGACTAGCAATGATGTTCAACTATGTAAATTTCTTTCCTTTCCCCATCAATGATGTTACAATACGATATTCTAGAGTACTCTACTAAATGGAGCGGGAATTCAAACTCCATTGCAAGAAAGGTAGTGATTTGAGGGGTTGGAAAAAAAGCTTGAAAAAAAGCGCATTCGTCTTAGTTCAAGATTCAGATGGACAAGAGGAGAATCAAGACAAGGGGGGATGCCCTAATTCCGAGAATATGAAATATCCTATACCCTTCTTCGACTATTTGACCTGCTCCTCGAAGCAAGGAAGGGAATGAAGATGGCATAGAATGCCCTATTAGCAAAAAAGCCAAGGGCAGGGCTAGCAAGTAAGAATCATACCAAGATTTTGAGCGCTAAAGCAGAACTCGCTATTAGGAAAGGAGAGAGAAAAACAAAGCAATGCCAGAGAGCTCCATCAATCCGTTATTCAATAATAGACGAAGCTCTCTCTTTATCCTTCACCCACGATTCTCTTCACTTTCCACCCTTTACCTAGAGAAGGATCATCGAAAGACATTCAACTTTGGGATCCAAGGAGAAAGGCATGATTCAGTCATCTAGGAAACTTCCTTTATGAAGGCTTAGTGAAAGCAAGAAAGTGAGTTTAACCTAGGGTAAAATAGTTTGGTCAATATTGACATTTCATACTCATTTCAAATTTCTGTTTTTGTTATTCCCATCAAACCGGTAACCACAGGATGATCCACAAGAAAGGTGGCAGGATTCGAACCTATGGCCGGCCCACCCCTAACACGCTGGGTTGGGTGGCCGGGTTAGCACCCATTGTCGCCTCTGTACCCAAAACAAATGCGCTGCGTTACCCAGCTTGTAACCTTGTCCCTACCCCTCTTCTGGTTTATGCCATTACCAATGGCAGGTAACCCCCTGCCCAATAGATATATAATTATAATCTATAAACTAAGAAAATCCATTTTTTTTATCCAATTGTTCATTCTTGGGAAGAGGAAAAAGCATATAGAGCAAATGCCTCTTCTTTTCCTTCCGTCCGTTTCTTCCCGAAATGGGCGAATTGCATGTAGAGATCCACAAGGGCTTATAGTTTAATTGGTTGAAACCTATTCTGAAACAACCAATGCATAATTTGCTCCCATCCCCCTATCTCTTAAAGATTGCTTACTACCATTTCCCCTCACTGCCGCTTGCCTAAACGCATCGGTCATATTCCTAATAACTTATCCAATTACAACGTGTTAACCGCTATTGCACCTTTCTTTTATCAAATCTCATAGACATGGTCTAATCATGAGGGTACTGTTTTATCAAGGAAAAGTCTGTGAGTCATAGGAAGTGCACTACTGTTATTACTCACATGGATAACAGATAGCCTAAAAAGAAGACTAGAGTTTGCAGCGGAAATGATTGTGAATGCATTGCAAGAAGAAAAATAAAAAAGAAACTTCAGTCAAACAAAGAATCAAACTTGAAAAAAATGGAGGGTTTGGATGAACACAAACCTAATGACCTTTGCAAAAACGACATCGATGAACACAACAGCACCACATGTGATTCCAACATTCACTCAAGAAGAAGTAAGGATTCTTTCCAGATCCACTTTCTGGGGATCCCAGGGATCTCCACATCCTAGCTGTTCATCGTACATCGTGCGGTCAGTTTTCGTTAGATACTATTTGTGTTTAATTTTAAATAAAAAAAGACAAATGATTTCTGACTGCACGATGCACGATGAATGGCTAAGATGTGAAGATCCCTAGGATCCCCACAATTTGAATCCAAATGGGATCCAAATCCCCTATTACCATTCGTTTTCCTCTCACTCCTCTCACACTCTTCTTTTTGTTTTTTTTCTTCTACATAAAAAATTTAAAACAAGATGTTGACGTGACTTAATCGTAACATTTTAAATATGAGGAGAAGGAAAGGGAGTGAGATTAAGAGGGGAAAGAATCCTACTCAGTGATAGAGAATGAAGATGACAACATGTTTTAAACCAATAGTTACGTTATCTTAGACTCTGTAGTTAAAAAAACTATGGTCACTCGCCATTTGATCTTAAGTCAATAATGTGTGATTATTTAATTTATGTTGTTTAACTTTTTACTCTACTGTTGTATTAAGATTGAACATTGGGTAATCATAATTTTCTTAGACCATGGAGTCTAAGAAAACGAGACTCTTAAAACCAAATGTAGATCATTCTTAAAAAAAGGAAAATAAAAAATGTGACGGTCTGAAAATTGATACCGATTAACAAAACTTTATAATAGTTTGTTTGATTATGCAAAGGTGAGTGACTTTGCATGTGGTTCAACATCTTGATGAATATAGTGTTGGGTTTCCACTCATGCGCCTTGGTTCGAAACTTCCTCATCCCCTAACTTATTATAATATCTGCATTTCTCTCTTTGAGTTTGCTAAAGTCACATGGGAAGTTTACCCTAATTCTCAGCCCATTTTTAATCTATATATAGGCGCTTTAGTACTACGGTCTGATGGTATTCCTTTTCACTTCTAGGTGAGAGGTTTTAATCCTTGAAAATTTAAAATACATGGTTATGTGGAGTAAATTGAGAATAAATGATTTATGGTTATGAAAAATTTAATTAAGAACTTTTAAAGTTTGATTTCAGAAATTATTATAATTTACATCGGAAAAATTATTGATAAGTGAAAAGATGAAAATGCCTGTAATGAGATGTGTTGACTTTTGTTAACCTCGTGGTTGTGACACGTTTGACATATTAATTAGTATATTTGAATAATGTTTGTCGCCACGAATGTGTGAGTGCAAATTGGGTGCTAATTGGAATTTCGACGAAAAAGTTGCAGATTTTTAATCTTTTAGTTGATGGGCAATATAGTAAATTGGGAAAAAGGAGATTGTTCTAGAAGGGAGGAGACCTATTTCTTCTTCTATGGAGGGGGGATGAAGGAAAAAGGAGGATGGGGGCTGTTCTTGTTTCTGTTTTGGGCTCCCCTAAACATAAATCTTATACCTCTTTCATTTAATCATTGATTTTGACCAACCTTACATCTTAACTCAAGTCCTCGTCGAGCCTATCACGTTTGTCACCTCGATTTTGCTAGAAATCACCAAACAAGGCAGAAGTTCGTAGCTTTGTTTACAGGGAGACTTATCAGTGTTCCTCCATGGTAGCCTGAGCCTGTTCTTCTTCTGCTTGGGAAAACCCCAAAATAGAAAGATCTGATGCCACATCAGATACACCCCTTGCTGTCTTAAGTCATGTCTGACTTTGTTAGTGGACAAGGCCAGAAAGGAAGAAAGCATGCTCGAACAGGTGCATGTCCTTCTCTCCATCCATTGGTTTTTCAATCGATTTAAGTAATTCTAAATTTAGGAGAGCCTGGAGGTATGCATGTCAATCTTCCTCTTAGATTAATATGAGTTATAAAGTAAGCTAGCTATTGTATATGTGTATATGCTTGAATTCTGACCACGAGGTTGAAAGCTTGGACGAATTAACGAGTGGCTAGACAATTGTAAAATGGTTGAGATAAATAATTAATTGTAGAATTATGCTTACATTCTTAGTCCAAGAGAATACAACAAAGACGATGATACTCAATAGAATACTTAAACCATGATCACCTGATTCACTTGTTTGAACCTAGTTAATGATTGTTAGTCACTTGATTGATTTTCGGAAATGAGTTAAAAATTGATTTTGTGAACTATGAATGGCTTGATCCCTTCGTAGGGTATGTAGGCAATCTAACGAGTTTAGATGCAGCCACAATAAAATAACTGAGATTATTCTTTTCTTGAAATTTGGCTAAGAAAAATAATTTGGGTCTATCTTAATAATTAGCTTCTGAATTAGAAATTTCGGGTCGTTACAGAGGTCTTAGGTTCGAATCTCATGGATGGCGAATTCGATACCAAATTAGTTTGCCCATGATGTGGATTAGCCGAATTCCCCCTCCTCTTAGTGTAAAATATATCGTTGTACTAAAAAAATCTATAAGCAAATGTTGTGTGCACAGTTTCTTTAGTGACGCAAGTTTGTGCTAAAAGACCTCTCTATTTTCTCTCCTTATTTATCATCGTCATCATCATAAGGGTGTAAGAAATTCTACAACGAATGAATACGACCAGCAATGGACTGCAGAATAATGAAGAAAAGTAAAATACAAATGTTGTATGAAGCATGCAATGTCGTATTTTCGGATCCAAAGGCGCTCCCAACTTTCCAACAAATCCAATGGCTGAAAAATCTCCTTGGTAGCTTTGCTTATTAGGTTCATCTTAGAGACTATATTGTAAACACGGAAATTCCTGCGATGAACGAGACAAGAAACACGTGTACAAAATAATATTTGTATTGATGATTTAGGGGTTACAATCTCTTCTACAAATTTAGCCTCTGATTCTATCTTTGCAATGGGTGGATTTGATGTTGTTGGTCCAAAGGGCCGTCGGGGCTTGATC